GATCGATCCAGATCCAAAAGTTCTTGCACCAAGTGGTTGCACCAAAATGTGTACGCAAAAGAGAGCAAAGCAATTTACGGCAAAGCAAAGCAACAGACAACACGGACACGGACGATGAGACTGTAACTCTTGAATCTAAGGAATCTGTGCTTCTGAATCTGAGACTGACGTTTGGAGCGTATTAAATAATAATTCCCAACGTTCCCTGTGTTGCGCGGGTCATTTACGTACGTCTGTGTTAAGTGTATGTTTAGCGCGTACCTACCGAAGGGAGGTGCTCGAACAATATTAATAGAAGGGTGAAATTGGCAAATCGAATTGACGGCAGTTGCATAAAGTATTGAGCGGCGGCACGCGTAGATATAATTCACTTATGTTTGTTATGGGTTGCCATGGAGTGAGATATAACCAGGGGGAAACAGCTATTGTTGGCCACCAGCCAAAACCCAGCAAATATAGACGGCGCTGTCGGCATAAGAGTCGGACGAGTTGCCGTTGCACTGTTGATGGAAATTTTTCTTAATCTTCACCATGGTGATAGCTGACATTGACTATTGAGAATAATGTTAATTTTTTATTTTTTATTTATTATTCGTATCTATCGATTCCCGTTCGAGGATATACCAAGTATTATTGTATTGAATATGAATTGATTCATACTGGGTTTACTTATTCGACAAAGTTTTTCCAATCCAATTTACTGTACTTTCTATCGCCCTTCGATGCTTTACCACGACGCATAATTTCTTCATCTCGCGAACTGGGTCACGCTAGATTCAACGAGACGATTGGTCGCTCGACTTTATTTATGGGTTTGTTTGCGGGCCCGAACCCTCTGCCGATAACCAAGGGATGCTAGTGTGCGGAAGCGTGTTGCAGCCAGATTGCACTGTCCCCTATAACTGGTACATACAAGGGTTGCTCAACTGCTCCGAGGATCCTATAACGATAAGGCTTCATTCGCTCTTCACCGAGATTCTTTTTTTTTCTGTTGATCTAAGCTACTTTACTGAAAAACGTATAGAGGGTTACTTGGCACATTATACCACGTGACTTACATCCCTTTTAGCGAGGCACCGTTAATCGGCATTTTTATCATCCCTTTTCAAAATACTCCATGTCAAAAAGATACCGTGATACCAAACGATCAGGCTGAGACCTCCGATACGAGCTTTTGCGGTTTACGCACCCGGAAACGACCCTTAGCCAATCTACACAAGTTAACCGCGAGAACCCCCTAGGATAAGTGGTACCAACTTGATCGGCGGGTTAGCTATATACGTTGCTACCAGACATACCGCAGCACTCCCGGAATACACTCCGTTTACATGATAGCTTAGGCGGAGGCAGCCAGTACACGTTAGTGCACATAGAAATGTAAGTACTTCGAGAGCTAGGTGAGCGGATTATGAGAGGTTTGAGAATCGGACTAAGGCTGCGTTCACATCGTGCACAGTGAAAGGGCGTGCGGGTATCCTGGCGTAAAATTCGTAATTACGGGCAATGCGTCAGTTGCGATTGAATTCGAGCTACTGAATTATTCCTTCCCCTCCTCTGTACACCCTTATCCATCTTGATCTCCTCCCGCGGCGAATAACTTAACCGCCAGTTTATTTTCCGCCAAGTACCAAACTTCCTGCGAACTTGAGATTCGCGAATTGGCCTCCAACGTGGCTTTTGGATAACAGCCGTCGCGGCCATATCGTATAGTAAAGGGGAAATCGGATAAACTGCTGCGCCATTCAGCAGAACCTGAGTTTATTATTGAAACGGCCTAGCTCCAAACAGTCCTATTTGCAATAGCTAAATTTAGAGTTAACCATAATTTAACCAGACTGTTCGAGTTGGTTCTGTTACATCCTGCCGCAGGACACGGACCAATCGTTGACTCAGTAATTTCCCAAGTTGATAATAATCATACGCTCCGTTTTTTTTTTTTTTTTTTTTTTTTTTTTTTAAACGAGCACGCGTAACCGCGTTGTAGTCACTCTTTTCTTGTTTTTCCCCGAAAACTGCTACTTAACAAATAAATAGATTTTCGCCCGCGTCTTCTAGATTTCCGAGTATCCGTTGCTTTACGATGAATCGACGAATCATACGTCGAATTTGTTTATCGCTTTTTCACGATATTTGCTTACTTTGCAATTCCGCCCGGAGGCGATTTACTTTTCGAATTGGTGCTTCTCGAATTTTGTACATTTTAGTTTATAGCATAACGTAGATACTATCCATAACCTCTAAGCGGTCTCAGTTGTCACTGGTCTCACTGTTATTCATTTTCTTACGTTTTGTTCACAGGGGACATGGAGATTCTGGTTTACTTCTTCGTACCCGTCGGCATCTTGCTTGCCGTTAATTTGGTATTTTTCGCTGCCACGGCCTGGGAACTCACCTGCGGATTATGGAAGGGTGAATTTGTCAAGAGCAACACTGAGAGGTGAGCATTAACAAAGAGATACTATGGGTGTATTAAAAAAGGACAAAGAAGCAACGGCAGGAAGATACAGACGGTTGAAGAGACGGAAAGAAAGAGAGAGAGAGAGAGAGAGAGAGACTGAGAGAGAGGGCGGGGGGGGGAGAGAGGAAAAGAGTGGAATGACCATAGAGTGAAGAGAAGGTTCTGTTTTTCCAAGCCACGAAATCCTACACGGGAAACACACTGGAATCTTGTCAATTTGTCAGAGGCTCTGGTCTCGTGTTTCCCGCCGGTGCAAAAAAGCCTTCACCGCGAAACAACCGGGACAGCTTTACGATGGGCTCGTTTACACGACAGCCGGAAAACGGCATTAGGTTAGGTTATACTGCATCGGTTGTACGGACAAGAACGAGTATACAGTACACTACGTTTATCTGTCTCTGACGTTTGCACAGCTATAATTTTCACTTCTCGTACTACGTGTAATAACGACGAACCGACTATTGATAGTCGCAGCGACTAATAAAAATTTATCTCTGCAATTCCACAGTGGATATCGTACGAGGATTTAAGTATTTCTAGTCTATATTCCGGAAAGTGAGGGTGGGCGAGGATGATAGAGAAAGAGAGAGGGCGAACGAGGAAGCAAGATATACAAGAAGAAGGGAAATTGATATTTCTGCTCATTGGTCTCACCTTGAGATGAAAATAAATAATGCAAAGCAGGTGCTTTTCGAGTTCCTCGACTTCTCGTTCCAGCGAAGCCACATGGGTCTGCCTTGAGGATACGAGAAAGAGAGAGAGAGCGAGAGGGAGAAAGAACGGAAGAGAGAGAGAGAGAGAGAGAGAGAGAGAGAGAGAGAGAGAGAGAGAGAGAGAGAGAGAGAGAGAGAGAGAGGGAAGGAAATAGCATCTGCTCCCGTTATATCGACATAGCGAAATCATCCCGGAGCGCATAAACAGATCGCGGATTCTTCTCGCGTAGGGGTGTCCGTATCTTTTTTAAGAATCCACCCTGACCTTCGGCTTGAAATAAATGATATAAGCCACAGGTGCCTTTTTTTCAAAGACCGTGCCCATACCTTGTCGACGTGCACGCTACACACAGGCGCGCTCACGCATCTGCTCATGGGTTTTAGCTTTGACTGTAGCCCAACCTAACCTAACCTACAATTGCATATAAACCCTGAGATATATATCGGGTCTATCCCTCTGAATGAGACTCTCCTAGTGGGTACATTTCATTAGCTAAGCTTAAGGCAGTTTTTATGACCGCGTCATCCTCTACACGTAGAAGAGTTCTCTACAGTTATTTCACCTGGAAGGAGGTTCAACGCATTATACGCATTGATATAGTTTATTTGTCATTTTGGAGTATCATCTGTTTTTTTCTTAACAAATAATCAAAGAGCGAAACATCTTTTGCACTTAATATTAAAATATTATTGTCATTCGGTGCTTCGTATGTTTCTAGGAACTGGCGTTTTCTTTCGAGCAATTTTTGACAATGCGCATGCGCAGGCGCCTTCTACACGGTCATAAATCGTCTTTCTGCGCGACGGCGACGTATCGCGTAACTTTTCTTCGTCGACTACCTTGGCGGATTGATATTGATGATCCTATTTATAATGGCGAAATTGTCGCTCGGCCACGTTCGAATTAGCGTCGCGATGAGAACGCGGCAGCTGGATGTACTACTATGTAAAGGCACCGCTAGTTCACTTACTTGTAACCGCTACTACCGGTCGTTACTATTATAAGACTTATCGTCGGATAATTCTGTTCGCGGTTTCTTCAGCTTGTTTCTTATTTTTAGATTTATGATCAGCGAGCCGGACACGAATTCGTCTGTTATTCAACTGTTTGAAAATCAAATGAAAATTATATCGAACATTCAATAATTCTCTGGGATTCCCTGTTACGATGCCGTAGCAATATATTTTTTGAAAACATTTTGAAAACCCACAAATTCACTACGGGTGATTCGCGCTCGTCCTCTCGTTCCTTTGAAACTCTTATTGTTTCTTTCCTTCATATATTTTTCAATGACAAACAGAATCCTTCAGGAATCTCAAGGCCGTCACATAAAAAATAACGTAATGACGTAAGACGTAACCATAAGGAAACCAACCAATCGGAATCCTTCCAAGGGGACAGTACTGGATTCTGATTGGTCTGCGCAAACGTCATCGTTCGTGTCGCACGCAGTATACGCCTGAATTTCTCAGTTATTGGACTGCAGCAAGCAGTATTATTTTTATATCAAGAATTCGACCTGAGAATCAGAATATCTATATTTTACGACACATATAGAGCCTTTTCTTTTTATTTTCGAAAACTGTGCGAAACAAACAATCTCGAGAATTTCTCGTGGGGAACGTAGACAGTAGGTGGGTAGTTGGTGATCGATACTCTCTTTAAATCGATAATCGCCTATCCCATCCTCCTAGATAAATCGTCCGGTAAGCTCAGCTCCTGCCAGTTCATGATGTAAGATCCTTACCGGATGAAACATTCTGAGAATTTATCACACGATACAGTCGCCAATAGTTTACATATTTTGACTCGATCTACGAGCAAAGTTTTACAACCTCCTGGGTATCGTAACCATCGGTATATCTGTAAATACCAAAGGAATCGATATGTCATAGACATAAAAAAAGTACATACAAGAGGAAGGAAATTAATAAAATTTCGCTCGATTTTATTATTTACCATCAATAAAATTAAACTGACATATCGCACGTATTTTTCTTCTTCCTTATTAAAAAAATGTGCACAACTGCAGTTTCCATTCGCACATCGCAAGATCCGTTCGATAAGTATAACGAACTTTGCGGTTGATTTCTTTTGGCCGATGTAAATGAGCAGCAGCCCCTTCGTTAGTTAACACTAAGCGTACCATCGACGGGTCATTTGACCCTTTTAAAGCGAAAAATACGTTTATGAAAAATTGTCGGTATGTTTAGTGTTAAGCATGAAACGAGAGAAAGGAAGGGAGCTCGCACGTTTTATTGTCCCACGCGGTGAAGTTTGCCATTTCTCGGCAGCTCGAAAATCGCTAATAGCCCTAATAGTTAATGGGTACCTATAATACGTACCTACGTGTAGGAGCGAGAGTGGCGAACACGCGCGGCTGCTACGTCCGCTCATTTATAACAATTAGCGTTTCTGCCAACCGACGCGCAAGAAGTTAATTTACCTCTCTCCGTTATATTTTCAGAGCCGCCCTGGGTCGAGTCTGCATGAAGCTGGTGATCGTGATGGGCGTCACGTGGGTGACCGACGTCGTCTCTTGGGCAGTGGGTGGTCCCCAGTATCTCTGGTACTTTACGGACCTCGTGAACGCCTCGCAGGGTGTCTTCATCTTCATCGTCGTTGGCTGCCAGCCACAGGTGAGAGCTGCGGTGAAGAGGCTGTGCAGCAAGAATCCCAGGAGTAACGCCGGCAGACAAGGAAACGCGCTGAGCACTACGAGCCACGGGATGCCCAGTATGGGCGACAGCGTCACTCAGAATCCAAGTACGAAAACGGCGCCGTTGGAAACTATTTGCTAGAAAGTTCCGTTTGACAACGAGGATACCAAGGAGGACCAATGACTTCGACGTCTGGAGGAGAACGTAATGAGATACGTGGAGAGAGGGATTTTCGAGTATAATGACGGAGGATACCTATCGCACGGAAGATCTTGGGATGCTGGATCCTGCGGTGCGGTTGGACCCTTAGAGCGTAGAATAAGTACAGGAGACATTCGAAGACTAAATATTTCTTTCGTACCTCGAGATGAAATGAAGAAAAATCGGGAATGAGATTTTTGATATTTATATCTATAGATATACACTCCTCTCTGGACGTAGATACGAAGACTATACTAGAATCGTAATAACTCTAGTGTACACGTATAACATGAATGGTTATCGAGTCACTGCCCAAACCGATCGACAGATCGGCGATCGCATGATCATTGCGAATTTTCGATATCCAATCAATCCCAAAGAATCGCGAGGCGCGTATTCCCGCTCGTGTAAAGTTTCGACTGAATGGAGGAGAGGCATTTTTGTTTTTATTTCATTTTTTTTATTTCATTTTTTTTTATTTCATTTTTTACATACGTTTTTTTTTACCTCTTTTCTTAATATTTCTTTCATAAGCGCGTCGAGTAGACCTCATCAGTCTGCTCGCGTAAATCCTCGTGCGAATCGAGGTTGTTATAATATGAATTACGACTCGTGACAATACGCAAGATGGGAAATCAATGCCTTTTCGAAATGCCTTCCGAACGTGATGTTCGACGAACCGAATTGTATTCAAGAAACTTTGCGATTCTCGGTGTTGTAAAAGCGCTAATTAATGTTTCACGACTTATCATGTAAACGTCAAGCTGATAATTTCGCGTGCTTACTTTTTTTTTTATCTGACCAACACAAAACCTAACAATAACAGTTGCGGTTTTAATGGGCATTCAGAACTCTTTCGCGAGAAGAGTATGTGTTCAATGAATGGCGTGAGAAAGAGAGAGAGTGAGAGAGAGAGAGGGGGGGGGGGGGAAAGAGAGAGAGAGAAAAAGAAAAAGCTGATAATTTCGCGTGCTTACTTTTTTTTTTATCTGACCAACACAAAACCTAACAATAACAGTTGCGGTTTTAATGGGCATTCAGAACTCTTTCGCGAGAAGAGTATGTGTTCAATGAATGGCGTGAGAAAGAGAGAGAGTGAGAGAGAGAGGGGGGGGGGGGGAGAAAGAGCGTGACGGAAAAAGAAAAAGAATGTTAAAGCGGAAATGACCTGAACGTGTAACCATGACGAACTGCTTTTCGAGAAACGAAAGAGTTACGCACTATACGCAAAAACTACGCACAATAAACGTACGTTTTTTCGCTGAAGAATCGCGCTAGGTATTTAGAAATTCGCGTGCACGTAGAGTCCTTGTTTCTTCAGGTGCATCAAACAGACTGAACTTGCTGAACTTGCGTTCGATGCATTTGACCTGCAGCTGACGTCTAGTGGGGAACGAAAACTTCCTGAACGCATTTGCATTGCGAGCATCTATGCAGAACGGCTTTCAATATTTGGGACACCGAATGATGAGACGAAAATACAAGGAGAAAACAATTGTATTAGATATACGGCACGTTACGTACGGGTCGTCCCAAAAAATCGTTTAGTTCCTTTTTTTTTCCTTTTTTCATGTTATTTTTTGTGTGTGTGTGCAACGTGTACGATGTGATAAACTGGCTCTGTCGAATCCACGTTACCAAGCCAATACATATAGACATAGATTTGTTATTCCATAACTGAAAGAAAATCTAAAAAAAAAATGATTTTTACAATATAACTACATTGGCTACTTTCTCTTGGATTCGGCAGCGGCGTGAATGTATGTTACGTGTATCTATTAGTAATATCGCAGCTTGATATTGGCAATATCCTGTAATTAGTTAAATTTAACGATTTATTATTATTATTATCATTATTATTGTATTACACGTCATGTACCATTTTATAATAGCGTGTGTTCGATACTGCTCGTCGCTATGCATATAACGCATATTGTCATTAATAATAATCGTCCCAAAACTTCTTGTAAATAACATTATCTGTATTATTCATAATACACAATTGACGTTCGATAGAGTACACGTAAGTTTAATGTTCGTTGTAAACGTACGTAAAAGTGCGACACGTGCCGTGTCGGGCCGCGATATCGGTAAAACGGAACAAAATATAAAAAGAAAAACGTGATAACTTATGGTTCCATTCACGTATGTTAACATATGGAATTGGTCCGTCACGCTACGTATCACTTTGACCACCCTTTGTATATTAAATAATATTACTAAGCACGGACGAGTATGCAAGAATCATGTGTTATGTAGGGATACACAGTTATGGGATTGAACGCCTTAAGTTTATATTAATTTATTTGTATTGCGCGCTCGTTTTTGCATATGTATTAATTTAAGGTACGATAGCTTGCCAGTGAATTAGTCTATTCTCCCCCTCCCAGCATCCCTTAAATTAATAATATCGTCATTCAATGTCAACGTAACGCCAACGGAAGTATATACGGAAAAACTATGACCTATACGTTAATGTAACAAATACTTGGAAGTATTACACAATTTGCGTTAATACCAAAAAAAAAGATGTAGTACAATCAGATCGTAATATCAGTTCCATTTTGAGGGGTCAGCTTCTTGTGGTTTACGGTACGGGAGAGTCCTCTAATTATGGAATTAATCTTCCCGCTTTGTCGTACTACGATAGCGAGGAAACAATCGAATGAAAGAAAGTAAAAATAATATTCTGAAAAGATGAACTTGCTTGTTATATTCCTCTATAGACGGGGAAAAATTACGAAAAAATAAATAATGTTTCATGAAGACGTAGCGAATAGCAGTTTTCTGTTGCGTCTGAAGAGAAATTAATGAACAATGTTAATAATTTCGAATTGGCGTTAGTCACTGTTGCATTTTGATAAATTTTTCTAACACGAATTTCATCCACCGTAAAATATCGTACAACCATCATTAATCTCGTCGTATTACCTTAATAATAAGAAATGTGTATTAAAAACCTGACAGAACGATAGAGAGTATGAGCACATATTACACTAGAGGATTGATGAGCAGTCGAGGCTAAATAAATATGATATCGTAGCGAATGAAACAATAGTATTAAAGTGTCACCCATAAACTCATATGTTATATAGTCTATATATATATATATATATATATATATATATAATGGTCTCTTGTGTGGACTTTTGTTCCCTAGAAGTAACCGATAATCGTTAGATGCGTCTTAATCATCACCTTAGACATCAATGAAACCATTGCCGATTGTACGCCATTCCTATAATGTATCTTAACAGTATTTCTATTGCAGTAATGGAATAAAAGAGAGCGGTTAGTAGGTTCATTATTAATATTATTAATACCCAGTCACCTATAGCATTGTTAACGACAGTGACTATATCATTAGTCGTAAGAATAACCCTAAATTGTATTATTTGATCATTTCATACTCTTTCGTAAATTAGTTTCAATAGTTTTATTTTGATAGACACTTTCCTCAATAATGTTCCCGTGCCAAGAACGAGACAAAACGTCATTGAGTATTTACATTCGCCCTATCAATCAAGAGCATAGTACAATGTTTATAAGCTGAATCAATGATAAAATTTCCTCTTTTACCCTTAAAGTTTACTATGAATCAATATGGATTCGAGCGTAAACAATTTTTTGTATTTCAAGCTTCGTTTAAGCCACATCCCCGTTCCTCCTGCTTATTTTCCTAACTCTTCAGTAGCTACCAAACCGCAGTAAGAGAACGTGCGCGCGCATCGTTTTCGAAATATTTAACAAGTCCAGTCCATATGAACTCATAGTGTAATTGACGTATTATCAAAATCGTAATAGTAGTAACGGGGTAAAATTGATGTTTAACAATAATGTGAAACAAGCATTTCATGATTTTCTGCCGTTTTATATATTTTTTTCTTCAATCAAACTTGTCGATTAGTACGTTCAGTCGTGGATTTATTTTCGACTTGACTTTTTTTTCAATTTTTTACTGATATCCTGTAAAGTGCTATACTTCCTAATAATATGGTATATAATGTATATTATAATGATTGCAATTGCTACGTGCAGCGGTAACCTTCTGTTTATGTTAAGAAATCATTATTTCTTCATAATAGTTCTGATAATCATTCTTGAAATCGATTACCAGTCAACGATCGTCTATCGCTCTCCATCTGTTTTATAAATATTGATAATCGTCAGTGAATGCTGATAATTGTGCACAATAGAGGTCGATACACTTTATCGATTTTTAAAGGGCTTTTCTTGGAAGGTTCATAAATGGTAGAGACTTATTTACTAACTGATAAAGTCTCGAGATTGCTGTAATAATATGTATTATTTGATACGTCATCGATATAAATTGCTTTATCAACTTCCATTGTTGTTTCTTACTGCATAAGGGGCAACTTTTTTTTCCTTTGGTCAATGCGGATAAAATATGAATAGTGTTTTGCATATTAAACTCTTTATTGTGGTTCGGCTAGTTTGTGGTTGGTAGTGTGTTTTACATATTTTAAGAGTCGCAGTACGGCTGACGGCGTGACACCAGCAATTCTGCTTGCTGCGGCAATCTGTCAAAGCATGAGTGGTATATTTTTTAATATGACAATGATGGAAATGCTTGGTAAAAGCAGTCTGGCTTAGGTAACTTAGGTAGTTCTTAGTTGCTTACAGTTTGTGGTTGTGCTGCTGCTAACTTCTCCGTTTCTTCAGAGGAGAGACACAGTGAGCTTCTGTACAATTTGGAATTATTAAGGTTAAAGTATGTCCTTAAGATTGATAGTTTAACTTAATTTATAAGTTTGATAAAATCTTGCGATAAAACAATATTACGAAGTCTCTGTGACTTTCAAATGACTTATTTCTTAGGATTAGCCTATCAGTCATGTTGAGTACTATATAATTTGTTGCAGCTGTGACCAATAATATTCAATCAAAACTCCATATAATACTCGTTTAAAGAATAGATTGAAAAAAATATTAACGACTTACGAAGCATAGTTAATGTCCTTTGGAATAAAGATGCTTTCATGTCGTCTTATTTCATGGACTTCTTCCAGTTGACTTTTGACTGCATTGGCATACATAGCTTCGATCTATAAGTAATTTTCAATACAACAATTAGAATTGGATGTTAACATCATATATACTCATTATAATATAAGAAATATAGAGAATTTTATATTTAGATTCAATATCTCAATACCTTAATTCTTTTGGCCAAAGATGAGTCTCCTGAAAATTGTGCCAGTTGATCTGGTATTATGTTAATAATATTCCCAAAAGATATATCGTCATTAACCATGCTCAAAATGCCAAATGCTGTAGTTTCCGATGGATTCTTACATATTTTTATTCGAAGCAATCGCCGCCATTGGTTTATTGGCTTTTTTACTGATTTCAAAATTTGAATTGCCTCTTGCATTTTTGTTTGCATGCGTAGCATAACGTCGTAACGAGTTTGTGAAACACAGCCAGTCAAGTAGCCCTTTTCGGTAAGTCTTTGATCAGCATTGTCAGGACGTAGACTCAACCGAAATTCGGCTCGACTTGTGAACATTCGATATGGCTCGATTGTTCCTTGAGTGGTGAGATCATCGATTAAGACTCCAATATAACCCTCAGTACGATTTATAATAAGCGGTGGCTTCCGTAAAACCTGTGGAACCGTAAGAAATATATCAAAGAAATATATCATATACACACAAAAATGTGTCTATAAAATGCTGAAGAATGAAAATATATGATATTTACCCGCGCAGCTGCATTTGCACCTGCGACAATTCCCTGTGCTGCAGCTTCTTCGTATCCAGTTGTACCATTTATTTGACCAGCCAAGAATAAGCCTGGTACTTTTTTCGTCTCTAATTCGTAATTCAATTCTCTTGGATCAATGTAATCGTATTCCACTCCATATCCAGGTTTTACTGTAAAATAAAAAACAGTTTGAATATAACAGTTTCAGGTATTTACTGGATTCTCTGTATTGTGACAAAATATAATCTGTTACATAATGCTATATTATATGTATATACCTAGTTTTGCATTTTCTAATCCTGGAATACATTTGACCAATTGTTCCTGTTTATCTGCCGGCAACGTACATGACATTCCACCCGGATATATCAATGGCGAATCCATACCTTCCGGCTCTAACCATATGTAATGTTCCGTTATGCCAAAGCGTAGAATTTTACTCTCAATACTAGGACAATATCTTGGACCTGTTACCTCTTCGGTAACGTGTCGATTACAATGTAAATTGTCCTTTATGATTTTGGCAACACCTTCATTGGTTTTTGTTAGGTAACAAGGTAATTGTTGATCCGCAGGTATCCAAACGCGATCATTCAAAAAAGAAAATGGCTCCGGTGGGTCATCCGGCAACTGAATTTGACATTTTGTGAAGTCAATTGTAGATTTTTCCAGTCGGGGTGGTGTACCTATTTGAAAACATTTAAGTTATAAAATTTGAAAGCAAAATTATAAATGAAAATTTATAAAACTTTTAATACCAGTTTTTAACCTGCCCATGCGGAAACCTAATCTTTCCAAAGTATTTGCTAAGCCAATGCTAGGTTCATCACCGATTCGACCTGCTGGTCGTGTTTCTAATCCAATATTTATTTGTCCTTTTAGGAAAGTGCCCGTAGTAATCACAACTGTATCACTGAATATTTTCATACCATCCTCTGGGAAATAGTAAGCAGTATTAATAACAATTTTATAAATAACATTTGAATTATACGTACTGAGAATAATTCCAGAACATTTAAACGAATCCTCTTCCAGGATTAAATCTTCTACAGCCGATTCACATATTTCCAGTCCAGGCGTTGAGAAGAGTTCTGCTTGAAGATTTTTTTTGTAGAGTGATCGATCTATTTGGGCTCTTAAACCCCAAACTGCTGGCCCTTTTCGTTTATTAAGAATTTTGTAGTGAACTCCAGATATATCACAAATACGACAGCAAACACCATCCAATGCATCCACCTCTCTCATTAAATGCCCTTTGCCAATTCCACCAAAAGATGGATTACATGACATTTCTCCTAATATAAAAAACAAGTATCATTAACGTTTATTCGAATATTAGGATAATCATATTAACATGATACATACCTATTGTACTTTTTTTATGCGTTACAAGAAGGGTCTTTGCACCAATTCTTGCCGCAGCTGCACATGCTTCTGTGCCAGCATGTCCACCACCAACCACAATTACATCATACTTATCTTGAAAAATATTACTAGCTATATGCCTAATTGGTTTATAGTATAATGTAGTATATCTTATACTGAATAAAGAATGTTTAAATTTGCTGATTGACATATTTTAGCACTTATTATGATTAATTATTATGGAATATAATAATCACTCTCTTTTAATTTCCTGTAAAAAGAAATGTATCTCAGTGCATCCTGAATCTTTGGTAGTATTAGCATTTTACAGATATCCTCCTTATTTGTAAATTCAAAATCCTTATAGACTAATTTTTTCAAAAATGCAATAACAAAGCTAAAACAGTTATTAGTATTTTCATTGTAGTTTGTAACGCTCCATTTTGAATCCTTGGATATTATGTCTATAGCATTATCCCAATGCGATTCCCATGATTCTGAAATTATTTTAAATGCTAAGCAGCATTGCCATTTCAAATTATCATCAATTACAAGTCCATTTTTATCATATTCAAAAATAGTTCCATTGGAATTAACTATACCTATATGTAAATCATTACTAGCATTATAGTTATTCAGAAAATCTCCTTGGGACGGCATGATAATAATAGTATTTGGATTATCTGCAGCATTAACAAATGGATAAGGCAAACGAAATGGCTCCAACATAAAAGTAGATAGAAATTCTTGGCAAATAGGACATTTTTCTGGTACTTTTTTACAAAACACTGACTTAGAACTGCAATGCAGAAAGCATAATATTCCTGGGTCGGAATTCATGAGGACCGTCAAAATGACTGCTAATAAATACACTTAATAAACTTAATATATAACTACGTAAGCAGTAAATAAAAAATCGTCCCTTGATCAAAATATGATCAAATCAAATGAATTAAATTAATAAAATTACAAAAAAGTAAGGTTAAAAACCTTGCAACAATAATTTTTCTATTATTACTTTATGTATACCTTTATAATACAATGCTTAGCATAATATTAATCACAATGAATATAATTGTCGGTAGAAAAAATCCACGAATATCGTCGGACTTTACAAAAACGTAGACAATAGTCATTAAATCTTCAGGCACGATCTGTCAGTTCGTTTCCTCTTACACTCACCAAATTGCTTCTCAACAGAAATAAAAAAATGCACCATCAGTACTATACATAAAACTACAATTTCGCACAATTTATTTTCAAGGTAAAAGCTAATACTCGAAAATGAGTACACATGTCTTCAATCGCATAATAATGCTCGCAAACTTAACGCCAAATCCACATTACAATATGGTTTTTAAAATGACTTGCGCAGTAAAGCTAATAGTTCGTAATGGTACCATCACAGACTGAGCCGCGCTGCAGTAGTAGCAGCTGATCTGCTGAGTAGTGCAGTACACCTGTACCGCGCTGGAACGGTGAACGCGTAGAGGCGTGCTTAATTCATAAAGCCGCAGTGTCGTGCATCGCCTGGCCGTGATTTCGTGTTCGTGACTCCAAATCACCAGAAACGGACACACCACAAGTTACCCGCAGTGAAAGAGAAAGGAATTCCGTTGAACATTAATAACCCGTAAGTAAGTTCTAGGTTAAAAGACATTGAACCTTCCTGTCGTCTTAACGTTTTTGGCAATTAAGAAAACCCAATCACAACAAGTTTACACAATTCGTCCGGTCAACTTATTTTCCTAATAAAGTCTGATGTATTCGTCTAAAAATCATAAAAACCATTCGCTACACGCGTACCTCGAGGTGACTGACACCTGATGCGTCAATGACCACGCATGTGAGAGTAGCATGCTGCTTCACTCATATCGAGCTTCTCATTGAATTTGGATTTAAAGTCAGTAAAATACAAAAAGAAAAAGAAACCGTAACCTACGGGTATACAAGTATCTCTAGGAACTGAGCGTGCCCGTGGAAATTCTATCTGGCGATCTGCTTAATGACCATGAGGAATCTCGCGCTCGTTCAGCTTTGGGAATCAAATTTATATATTTTAAGGACCTCGCGATAATTGCAGTTACGCACGCACAGACAACGCCATGAATTATGATTTATCGCAAAATACTCAATTGGGAATTTACGTAGTGGAAACTTGGATCAAGAAAATTTCTCGACCGATTTACAATGGTTGTTCGCTGAAAATCGTCGTTTTGTATTCGGGCTACGTTGCCAACGTGCATAACGGAATTATTTTGTGTCTCTTGCATTTCGTGACAGACGAGTGCAACAGAGGTAGAATATATGGCGATAGATCTGAGAACGTAAAATAATTGCGCTTAAATATATGTATATCGCTGGCTAGATCAATAATGATCCAGATATGAAATTTCTATCATGGTGATGCGTCAAGGAGAACTGCTGTACAAATATTTTGCAGTTAGACGAGGCGAAGAATCAATTAAGCATAACCAGCAGCACGTGGAATTTTACGATGCGTTTCAACAATTATATAGAGATTCGTTTTGCACTTTGATAACATTTTTTTCTCAATTTTTAAGTTGACGATAAATGATGACCTTATCGAGATTGTATAATTTGGTTATATCCGCATAATTGATGTATAATTTCTTTTCCGTCATTCTTGTGAGGTTGCAAACAACAGTTTTAAAAAAACTATGTTTGACTTCTCCGACTTGTGCAAATTTTTCTTCTATCTACTTATTAACAGTTATACATTCTTGAGGGTTTGCGTAGCAAGAAAAAATGTTTCGTAGACAGAGTATTTAAGTTTTGATCAATTTTTGAAGAAGGCGCGATTAACCCTATAAATCTTACTGATATTGATACGTTGTTCGTGTTTACTACTATTCACAGAACTCATCCTGAAACACTCCCAATTCTATTTCCTCGAAACATCACGTAAATACCCCACGTCAATCATTTATATGGAAAAGAAAATAAGAGCACGTCTTCTGTCTTCGTAATACGATAATAAAATTATCTATAACATTCATAACTTTTAAGAATAAAAAAAGATCTTTCCCTCTTTTGAATTTCTGCATTCTCAACGGTCAAGCTCCAAAAAAAAAAAAAAAGAATTGGCTACACAACAAACTCTACAATGCAAACTAAGTTATATTCCGTATACCGATTTTGCGTAAGGTTAATAGTAATACATAATATACACAGATGTTGTTATATATCATACTGAATTAAACTTTCGGGTTATTCAAAAGCTATTCGCTTTCAGCTTTGAAGCTGTGGACTTATAAAATCCTTTAAAATATATTTTTTTTGCAGCAGAAACATTCTCTTCCGATATATGTGAATCCCATACGAATATCAGAGGGCACTTTTGCTATAAGACACCATTACTCCAAAGCGTGGACTATATCTATCTCTTTTTTTTCCCCACTTTATTTATTCTACCTGTTAATTACGAGGCACAAAGTCACGTGACCCGATGTTCCTGTTAACGACATGAAATGCGATCGTTTTATTTGAATGAACGTCGGTGTTTAATAGGAACGTCAAACCCATGGCCTAAACAAATGTAACTCTTGTTACGGCGGCGCTGATATTAATATGAAGCATATGACACGTACATACGTGCATATGTGGCGTGTCAATAATTTCATCGCATTGTAATGCCTATAAGAAAGTCATCCCGTTATCGTAATCAAAAGCTTGAACCGAGACAATATTCAATTACGTGACTTGAAATTCGCACAACATCGAGTTATCGCGACTATACGGGTTTTCCCTGAATTTTGCTCGGTGTCTTCTTCCTTTCGTCTTAAAAACATCACGTAATTATTCTTGATTCAAGATTTAAGCGACAAGTATATAGAGGGTGACCAGATTACACGATAACGGAAATATCTTCTCTCGTCTCTGTCGTTACAGTAAAATCTGCCTTTTTTCCCGCTTCCTCTTTTTTGCCCTCCTATTTTTTGACGCGTCAGCTGTGTGAATTTAGAGTACACGCGAACTTGGTGGCGCATGCACTTTTTAACGTGGAATATACATAAAGTTTATATATTTCAATATGTATAACTCTTTTTTTTCTGTGCCAGCAGTATCACGTTACCCTTTTGCGGAACGATGGAAAAAACACTCGGTGGATGCAAAACGGGTATCGCTTGGCCTCCTTCTCTCTCGTTCTCTTCTAGTCTACTCTCTCGCCCACTGTGAACTGTACCGCGTGTCCCTTGCGCACTCGCTCCCTGCGGCCATTATTCCATGAAAATTGAGCGTCCATTGGAAATTTCAATATCCGATGGACAGGCCAGGATACGAGGCTCGGATCGATGATAATTTTAATTGAAATTCCGTAGATTCCGGACAAGTGGCGAAGAGGCAATTAAAGGGCGAATTGTTATACGGGAGGTCCGTGTTGAGTGCGTAACGAGCCATCGTCGACTCGACTGGCCAATTTTCAATTAGCATTCTTGATTTGAACATTTTTTTACTTCTGCTTCTCGCTTTTACCCCTTCTCTCGTTGTTGCCGTTTAACGTGACTTTTGCCTTTCTTGGAAAATATTTCCTTGCTTACAATTTTCGTTTTCGGAGCACGCTTCATGATTGGTCCATGCTTGCGCGTCCTCATTAATATTTTCGGCATTGTGATGTGACGTCATAGAGGATGTAATACTAAAGGGCGTGAGTCACGGGTTTCGTAATATTCCAATTCCTGGATTGCATTTATTTCACTTGTTTTAACTGTAACGGCTGGATATAAAAAGTAGGCACAGATAATTCATGTAAAAACTGTTATTCGAGGACACTGTCGGTATTTTGTGCCACGTAACGATTATATATTCAATTACGTGGGACAGCTTCAATAAGTAATGTGACGTAGAAAAATTAAATTTATTTCAGTGCAAAACGATGCACATGTATTACTTTTATAACAAAAATTGTATGCAGAGTCGCATATGCGATTTGCAAGGGATTGCATTGTTTGCAAATTGTCGACAAAAAAGATATTGAAGAAGTGGACAGACTATAGTAGAGGGTTCGTATATACGTACATGCCAATTTGCTTAGCGTTTTTGAATATTTTTGCAGGAGCATTCGACGTAACGCAGTTAATAGGTTATGAAAATAATTGACGTTGTTCTGCTTTATGGGCTTAACAAAATTCGTATCACATAAATTCCTGTAAATTGTGAAATTTTTCACTGCAAGTTACTCGAAGGATTTCATTTTTACAAAAACTTTGTAATGTCGCTTTTTGAGTACTTTTTCGTATAAATTAGGGATACCCATGAGTAATGTCGTTTTTTACGAAAAAAAAAATGGACATTATTACCCATGGTTACCTTTGATATCCGCTGAGACTATTTTGCGAAACGGATAAGGAACGTGATAAAATATATTTGAACTTGCGATGTGATAAAGGTGACAGCAATGATCAATGTTAATTTCCAACGTATACAATTTTTTGTAGTCGTTTTGTACAAAATTTACTTTCAATCATTCCCGATAACTTTTAATCTTTTCAGAAAATTATTGTATAGTAATCGGTTATGCATTGTTCGCTACGTTTTGTTTCGACCACACTATTAGGGTTCATAATTTTTCATTGCTCTTTTACGAAACCCGTCATTTTCCTTTGGCAACCATATCGACTAAGAAACGGAAAGAAGTATTCTCCTCTCCTCTCCTCTCCTGGTCACCATTTTCTTTTAATTTTATCCCTACATCCTATATATTATACAGTATACCATGCGATGATCCGTTTCACGCCATACAAACAACCCACCTCCACATAATTATATGAAAGTAGAAACTGATTAATTAGCGCGCTCCCATTGTCGGGATTTCGTAACTTCACAGCGGGAAACGGAATTGTTACATCGGTTGATACGTATTCCACGTGAAAGCCCATTTCCTCGATTCGTTCGTCATTAAATACTGAAAATTGCAAGGTGGACGGCTGCCAGTGCGCGTTTCACGATTTCAAGGTACGACGTTCAATCACTATAACAACGAACTGGAAACTTTTTCATTGGTCCCGACGATCTTACCTTAAAAGTCCACTTTCCAAATGGCACCACTAAGCGACGCGATCCCATGAATTCCAATAGTCTCTTCGCGAAGGGGTTAAGACTACTGTGCTGATCTTAGAAAGGTAACGAACCTACTCAAAGAACCAATGCGAGAACTGGCAGTTCCGTTCTGGTAACTACGGACTAGTCACTTTCGAGATTATATGTAAATCCCACGGAATTGGAAATATCGGCGAAATAAAGAAAGAAAGAGTGAACAAAAGGCGGATCGCAGATTCAGCAATGGAGTCTTTCAATTCTTTAAGGTGAAAATATTCGAATTTGATACCTTGAAAAACGCGTGATATAAAATATAGGGAATTGCACTAAATATATATATATATATATATATATGATCTTTGTTTTATTTTCTTGGTTCACCCGGACAAACCCGTTTTCCTGTTCTTTGCACTTCTCGTCGAGATTTTTCTTATCTGTACAATTCCTGCTCATGATCTTTGTTTTATTTTCTTGGTTCAC